GGGCCCTCCAGGTGTGCATCAAGAAACTCCAGGCACAGCCGAGGGGTGGTGGCACACGCCTTTAATCCCAGCACTCGGGAGGCAGAGGCAGGCGGATCTCTGTGAGTTCAAGGCCAGGCTGGACCGACAGCCTCCAAAGCAATACAGAGAAACCCTGTCTCATAAAACAAAACACACACACACAAAAAAAAACTCCAGGCACAGTAGTAGACTCTGGCCCCAAACCCAGAACCCTCTGCGCAGCTGTGGGACGCAGGGTCCCTCCCAGGCAGCTCCATCACCCCCGTGTTGTTCTCGCTGACCAACTCAGGCAAGGTCTCTGGGCAGGAAGAGTGTACTTTCTGTCATCGTGCAAGTGTAAGCATGCTCCAGGGGCTCCAGAGGGTAGGGACACTTTCTGTTCTTTCTTTCTTTCTTTCTTTCTTTCTTTCTTTCTTTCTTTCTTTCTTTCTTTCTTTCTTTCTTTCCTTCCTTCCTTCCTTCCTTCCTTCCTTCCTTCCTTCCTTCTTTCTTTCTTTCTTTCTTTCTTTCTTCCTTTTTGGTTTTTCGAGACAGGGTTTCTCTGTGGCTTTGTAGGCTATCCTGGAACTCGCTTGGTAGTCCAGGCTGATCTTGAACTCACAGAGATCCGCCTGCCTCTGCCTCCTGAGTGCTGGGATTAAAGGCGTGCGCCACCAACGCCCAGCTGCACTTTTTGTTCTTACTGAGGGTCATTTTCTGGTTCCCGGCACTTACAGGGTGGCTCACAACCATCTGAATTTCCAGTTCTAGGAGATCTGACTCCCTCTTCTGGCATCTATGGACACCAGACATGCAAGTGGTACACACACACACACACACACACACACACACATGCAAAACACTTATATATATAAAATAAATAAATAACAATTTTTGTGGGGAGGGGTTTTCAAGACTGGGCTTCTCTGTATAACAGCCCTGGCTGCCCTGGAACTTGATCTGGAGACCAGGCTGGCCTCAAAGTCAGAGCTATCTGCCTATGTCTGTCTCCAGAGCGCTGGGACTAAAGGTGTGTGCCATCAGCCACCGGTTTCAAAAGCAGAATCTGTACATTGCTGCAGGAATACCGACAGTTGACGCTGCAGACATCTCAGGTGTCACTTTCTCCAGCGGCGTAGCCACTGACAAGTTGCCCACCCACGCTTATGCAGGCAGCCCTGTTTAAACTCAGTGCCCACCCATGCTTATGCAGGCGGCCCCGTTTAAACTCAGTGCCCACCCACGCTTATGCAGGCGGCCCCGTTTAAACTCAGTGGGCCCCAGACACGAAAGACACGGAGGTAGGAGGGGCCAAGTCGGGAAGAACGGTTTCCGTGGAAGAAGAAAGACAGGGTGAGACAGGGTGATGGAGGGAAAGAAGGGCTAACGGTCGAAGAATAAAAAGTAATTTTTTATTAACAATATAAATATAAATAAGGAAAGATTAATTTTAAAAATAAAAGGGATGATGGGTGTGGTGGTCCAAGCCTTTAATCCTAGTACCTGGGAGGCAGAGGCAGGTGGATCTCTGGGTTTGAGGCCAGCCTGGTCTACAGTGCGAGTCCCAGGACAGTCAGGGCTACACGGAGAAACCCTGTCTGGAAAAAACAAAAGTGGATAGATGGATGGATGGGATGGAGAGATGGCTTAGCACTTGCAAACGACCAGGGTTTAGTTCCTAGTGCTGTTTGGTGGCTCATAGTCATCCATAATTCCAGGACCAGGGGATCTGGTACCCTTCTCTGACGGGAACAAGGTATGAGCACTCTGCACAGACAAATGTGTAGGCAGAACACTGTACACATAAAAATAAATAAATCATGCCAAGCGTTAGTGGCACACGCAATCCCAGCACTCGGGAGGCAGAGACAGGTGGAGCTCTGTGAGTTCGAGCCCAGCCTGGTCTACAGAGTGAGTTCCAGAACAGCTTCTGAAACAATACAGAGAAACCTTGTCTCAAAAATCTAAAAATGTAAGAAATGAATCAGTGTATAAAATTTTGGAATCTCTATGATGTACATGTCCTGGAAGAGTTATGGGTGCCTCACTTTGCTTATGGCTCTGTTTTAGACGAGCCGTGAAACTCGAGGCTGTATGGTTTTGGAAGGGGCTGCACCATCTTCTGTGTTTGCTAGGAATGGAAATTTCTATTATCTGTCTATCTAATTATCTATCTGTCTGTCTGTCTATCTATCTATCTATCTATCTATCTATCTATCTATCTATCTATGTATATGCATGCTGTCTGCATGTCTGCCTGCAGGCCAGAACAGGGCACCAGATCTTATTACAGATGAGTTGCGAGCCACAATGAAGTTGCTGGGAATTGAACTCAGGACCTCTGGAAGAGCTGCCAGTGACCTTAACCGCTGAGCTGTCTCTCCACCCCCTGGAAATGTTTGTTGTTTCTTGCCCATGGAGTCAATGTCACTGTGTACAACTGCAGTTTGCTTTAGAGGAGAAGCTCCCAGTGAGCAAGCCCTCCGTTTCAGGTGCTGCCTCACACGGCAAAGAGCCAGATGGGCAGGACAGCCTCTTCTCTTTCCAGGGTGGTCAGGATGCTTTGTCATCCCTGCGGTGGTCACCACTGAGCTGGAGGGTGATGGTGCAGCTGACAAGCGCGTGTTTACCCTGCACCTCCCGGAACAGGCTTAAGGCACTGTAATCTCATGCTGGTTACTGGAAGTTAGGAAAGCTGATGATTCACTCTCTCTAGCTCGGAAGAACTAAATCAGATTCTACCTACTATTTGTAAAACTATATGTACTTAAAAATTAAGAGCCAACTTGGAATACTCACTGCCTGTAAGTGATTTGGAAGTTCCTAAACATCACCAGCTGATCTGTGATAATACCTCAGTTGGTAGTTTTATTTTATTTTTTGATATTTATTTAGACCAGGTGGGCCTCAAACTCACAGAGATCTGCCTGCCTCTGCCTCCAAGTGCTGGGATTAAAAAAAACTCACCGCAATGCCTGGCACATGGTGTAAACATACCCTGTATTTAAATTTTGTCTTTAAAACTATATATATTTAGAGCCGGGCGTTGGTGGCGCACGCCTTTAATCCCAGCACTCGGGAGGCAGAGGCAGGCGGATCTCTGTGAGTTCGAGATCAGCCTGGTCTACAGAGTGAGTTCCAAGACAGCCTCCAAAGCCACAGAGAAACCCTGTCTCAAAAAAAAAACTATATATATTTAGGCAGAGGCTCATGTATCTCTAACTGGGAACTCAGTATGTTCCAATGAATGACCTTTGATTCCTTCCTGATCCTCTTTTTTCTGTTTCTTCGTTTCCCAAGTTCTGGGACCTGTCCCCTCCCTCCTCTCTCTCTCTCTCTCTCTCTCTCTCTCTCTCTCTCTCTCTCTCTCCTTCTTTCTCCCTCCCCTCTTGAGATGGAGTTTCTTTGTGTAACAGCTCTGGCTGTCCTGGAATTCACCGGGTCTTGAACTCACAGAGGTCTGCTTGTCTCTGCCTCCCAAGTGCTGGGACTAAAGGCTTGTGCCATCACTGCTGGCTGCATTTCTGTCTTTTCTTTTCTTTTTAAAGATACTTCCACTTATACCTCCCGAGGGCTCGGGAGGGCTGGGGTTATAATGTGGACTACCACGCCTGTGCCATGCTTGTGCCTCTCTTTGGTAATATCTTTTGTTATTTTTAAAAATCACTACAAATATTGCTATTATTATTATTCATGCACGATCTGGAGGGGGCACAAGTGTGGAGGTCAGAGGCCAAGTTCACATGGCAAGAACCTTCACCCGTGAGCCATTTTACTGGTCTCTCCTTTTTTCTTTTCCTTTTTTTTTTTTTTGGTTTTTTCAAGACAGGGTTTCTCTGTGGCTTTGGAGGCTGTCCTGGAACTCACTCTGTAGAACAGGCTGGTCTCGAACTCACAGAGATCCTCCTGCCTCTGCCTTCCGAGTGCTGGGATTAAAGGCGTGTGCCCCCACCACCCGGCTTTTTTATTTAAATTTCTGCGTGTTACTATTTATCTTGTGGGAGCAACAGGCACACAATGTTATTCAGAGTGCATGTGGAAGTTGGAGGACAAATTGTGAGTCAGGTCTCTCTCCCTCTACCATGGGTGTTCTGAAGCTTAAACTCAGGTCGTCAGCCTTGGCAGCAAGCCCCTTTACCTACCGAGCCCTCTTGCCAGGCCCTGGTAATTTTGTAAGGATTGTCACTTCTGCTAGGATATCATTCTTTTTTCCATGGAGGTATGGTCATCCATGTAGTGATACAGCACAGTGTATCTAATCAGCTCCTTCACAGGGATTGTTTACACACTTCCAATACTGTGAGAAATGGCGAGATAATTATTCTTGTGGGAATGCGTCATTACCTCTCCTGGCATAATTTGGCCGAAATGGAATAAATTCAGGATGTCAGTTTCAGTGTCGCAGTTTTAACTTCATAACATTTCTGGGGTAAATAGAATTATGATTATGTTTTACGGTGTCTCTAGTTTCTAAATCCGGGCCCGTGTGAGCCACGGAAGGAATCGGTGGCATGTGATTCTGACAGGTGACGGAGGAGGGTCACTCTTCAGGGTGCTGAGCTGACACCATCCTGGAGCCACGCAGGCGGATGCTGGTGCAAGGCGGTGGCTGGCAATCTGCCTGGTTTGGGGTGCTGAGCTGTCCTGGTAGGTGAGTGCAGGGCTCAGGGCTCAGGGCTCAGGACAGCTGATTGGGGAGCTGAGCTGTCACCAGCGTCCTCCATCCTGGAGCAGTGCGGGTGACTGCGGGGCTGCAGCTGTCAATCTGACATAACCCGGGCGCTGAACTGCTACGGGCACCCAGCATCCCTCCTCCTGGAGCAGTGCAGGTGAGCTCAGGGCCGTGCTCCACGCTGCCCACCCTCGACCTCCCGCGCTCCAGGAGGCGCACCGAGGCGACCCCAGGCCGTGCAGCCCTGACAGCCTCCGCCTCCGCTTGCGCGCCTGCGCGCCGGCTCCTCGTGTCCGCGCTCGCGCTGTCAATAAAGTTCGCGCGCGCCGGAAGCGGAAGCGGCGGGTCTCCATGGCGGCGCCGGCAGCGGGCCCGGTGTTCTGGAGGCGGCTGCTGGGCCTGCTGCCTGGCCGGCCCGGGCTGGCCGCGCTCTTGGGCCGGCTGAGCGACCGCCTGGGCAGGAGCCGGGAGCGCCGGCGCCGGAGGTGAGAGCGCTCGGGCCGGGGCGGGCCGGGCGGGGGCCTCGCCGTCTCCCCGCGTGCGGGCGGCCGGGCCGCGGCCCCCGTGGGCGTGCACCGTGCAGGAGCCACCCGGGGCGAGCTCGGGGCTGCGGCGGAGCTCCGGGGCGAGCGTGGCCGTGTGTGTGAGTGTGTGTGAACGCGGTGACTTGGCGGGCGTGAATCAGCCCTGCGCGGGCCGGGTGCGGGCTTGGCTGCTCCGCACAGACACACCACATACACACACACACAGGCTACACACATACACACACACCACACACACACACAGACACACACAGTCACAGACACACAGGCTATACACACAGATACATACACACACAGGCTATACAATACACACACACAGACAGACACACACAGTCACAGACACACAGGCTATACACACACACAGACATACACATACAAAGGCTATACACACACAGACACACACACAGACAGACACACACACACACACACACACACACACACACACACACACACACACACACACACACACACACACACATCCTGCCCAAGACATTTCTCAACCCTGACTCTGTCAGGCTCTCAGGCCCGAGAAGAGGAAACTCCCGGAACCCTTCCGAGACGCTTTCAAAGGGCCGGTTTCTGGAAAAGTCCTGAAGTGGAGTTGTGTAAACGCTGAAGTAGTGTTTGAAGCAGTTTGCTCGGGCAGTGGTCCTTCAGAGTAAACATTTGCCAAGAGCAGGCTCACCCAGTGCTGTTGCTAATGTTTAGAGGGAGAGGAGAAAAGGTGTGTGTGTGTGCACGCGCGTGTGTGTGCGCTCGTGTGTGTGTGTGTGTGTGTGTGTGACTCTCCTTTATGCAAATGTTGAGAGACCCTAACCCCAGCGAAAGCTTTGAGTCTACTTATTTAGTTGAAGCATTGTTCAGCGTTTCGATTTTATAAGTGCTTTCTTTTTCTTCTGGTGTTGGGGCTCAAACCCAGAACCTCATACACAGGCAACTAATGTGATAAGGAGCCACAACTCCAGTGTGCTCTCTCGCTCTCTCTCTCTCTCTCTCTCTCTCTCTCTCTCTCTCTCTCTCTCTCTCTCTCTCTCTCTCTCTCTCTCTCTCTCTCTCTCTCTCCCCCTCTCTCCCTCTCTCTCCCTCTCTCTCCCCCCTTCCCTCTCCCCCCATCCCACCCCTTCATTTAGAGACAGTCTCAGGCTGGCCTGAAACTAGCTAAATACCTCAGGCTAGCCTAGCAACTCCTGATTCTCCTGCCTTGTCTGGAATCACAGGTGTGAGCTGTAATGGCCACTCTCTTTTTTTTTTTTTTTTTTTTTTGGTTTTTCGAGACAGGGTTTCTCTGTATTGTCTTGGAAGCTGTCTTGGAACTCGCTTTGTAGACCAGGTAATGGCCACTCTCTTAACTTTGCATGTCTGAGTTCCATGGGTATGATCTTGTGGTCCCGATAGGCGCCTAGGGGTGCAGCGTCCTGTGTCGGTTGGTTCTAGATGTGGAAGGAGCTTGCCAGGAGGAGCCTGTCAGCCAAAGCGAGGAGCTTTCTTTCAAGTGACAGAAGGAAAGGCTTGGGTGCCTACTGATCAGATTGTGCCCAGTTACCTACATGTAACCGAGGTGGTGCCACTCCACGCTTCGTCACGGAGGCTCAGCGAAAGACCAGGCGGTTCTATTGGGTGGTAAAGTCAGGTGATGTTTACCTCACGATGTCAGACCACAGCAAAAAAAATTTTTTTTTGGTTTTTACGAGACAGGGTTTCCCTGTATTGTTTTGGAGGCTATCAGCCCAGCCCGGCCTCGAACTCACAGAAATCCGCCTGCCTCTGCCTCCAGCCTGGAAGATGAGGGGTTTAGGAAGCTTTTTATTAAATTCCTCTTTGTTTTGAAACATTGTTAATCATTGCTCAGCTTTGGTGTTGATCGCTGAAGGGTCCCAGGGTATTCTACACAGCTTCCCCCACTACTGCTAGGTGTCAAACCCAGGAGAGGCAGACACTCCACCACTGAGCTGCACCCCTAAAGCCACTGTGTTTTTTTTTTTTAAAGGACATGGCCTCGTAGTCCAGGTTAGCTTCAAATATGATTTTGAACTTCTGATCCTTTGGTCTACAGCCTGAGTGCTGGGATTACAGGCGTGTGTCTCTGTGCCCAGTTTCATGAGGTACTGTGGGTAATTGAAGGTGTGTGCTATCACACTTAGCCCAAGGTTTTATTTTTATTTTTACTTATGCCTGTCTCTGTGTGTGTAAGCGCGTGTGAGTGCAAGTGCCCTTGGAGGTCAGAAAAGGAAATTGGATCCCCTGGATCTAAAGTTATAGGCCGTTCTAGGAATCAAACCCGAGTCCTCTGTACGAGCAGTGGGCACTCTTAACCGCTAAGTCGTCGCTCCTGCCCATTGATGTATGTTTTGAGACAGGATCTCACTGTGTAGCCCTGGCTGGCCTAGAGCTTCCTATGTAGCCTTGGCTGTCTTTTAAATGGGTTTACTTACTTATTGAATGTTGCCCAGCCTGACTCAGGCTTGCTGTGTAGTCAAGGGCAGCCTTAAACTTACGGATAGGGGGTTGGGGGTGCAGTGCGGCAGTTGAGGGTAGTCTAAATCGATTCACAAGACTTATGTTTGTTTGAGACCGGGTCTCATTTTCCTAGGCTGGCCTTGAACTCCTGATCTTCCTGCCGTCGCCCGAGCCCTGTGACTACAGGCGTTTGCCACCACTCTCAGATCGTCCTCCCAAAATGTGTGCAGCGCATGCGGCTCCGGATCTCTGGGCCTGCAGTTTAAGCCTGCAGGGGGTGTGGGGGGTTGACGGGTGGATTTCTCTGAGTCCGAGCCAGAGATTGAGTTTCTTTGCCCTGCATTCAGAAGCTCTTCCAGCAGTGACAACATTTAGGGCGGGACGAGGGTCAGTGCTTCCACCAGTGAGTGGCCCTGCAGGGGTTTTGTCCCCGCCTCTGCCTCGTTTGGCTTGCAGCTTTTTCTGGTTCTCTGGGGCCTCAGTGTTTGACACCATGCCTGTCGGTTGTGACCACTCACTCTCAGCTGCTGGCTTTCGATTCTTCTCTGTTCCTCTGCACCTCCCAATTCCTCATTCCCCGAATGGTGTGGTTTCTTGTAATTCTCTGATCACTGATTCATTGATGATAGCTGTGTCGTCATGAGCTTGAGTTATTTTAGAGTCTGGCATTGCCAGTCTGACTCAGCCATCGGGGGCTTGGCGAATCCTTGTGGCCAGCAGGAGGAACGGTTCTTCACTGCGTGGTTTCCTCTCAGGGTTAGGGCGCCCATAGAGACGGAAGAACACGAGAACATCATTTCTTATTAGTGATCTCGAAATACTGCTGCTTCTCTGAAGCAGCTGCCTGACTCATTGTCACCGGGAGAGCTCTACGGTTCGTTTATTCCGCGTGTGCTCGGTCGTCGCTCTGCTAGGTACTAATGAGATAAAGACACAGCCCTGAGCAGACAGTTCCCGGAAAGGAAGGCGGAAGGTCACGGCGGCGCCCTGGCAGGCCTCCTGGTGGCCCAGCACAGAGCCAGCCGTTTGGAGTGAAGTGAAGAAGAGGGAGCAGGCGTCGAAGGGCAAAGGGCGCGGGCAGGAGTGGCAGGGAGTACTTGAACGAACCATTCCTTTCTTTTTCTTTTTGAGACGGGGTTCTCTGTGTAGCTCTAGTGGTCCTGGAACTCGCTCTGTAGACCAGGCTGACCTTGAACTCTCAGAGATCCGCCTGCCTCTGTCTCCTAAGCACTGGGATTAAAGGTGCGTGCCACCACCACCTGGCCCTGAACCACTGACAGCGACTGATGGGGAGGATCCCTGAGTAGGAGAGGAGCTAGAAGCAGTCCCCAATGTCATCCACACCCTTTTGGCTTGTGGTCAGCATGCAGCTGGATGCTGGCAGCTGGGCCTCTGGAGCGGTACTTACTGGGAGAGTCCGGTGGCTACGGTCTTGAGTAACCCAAGCATCACTTCCCCTGCTGGGGCTCAGACTGCAGTCTCCTGGGCCAGAGAATTAGGAAAGCAAATTTTAGGTCCTGGTGGGATTCCTTTTGTGAATGGTACAGCCCAGGGTTTTGGGGGTTGGTGCTCCTATGAAGTCGGGGGCAGTGGGAGTATGAAATTAGAGGGCCAGATTGGAGTCAGTTCTGCTTTGGGTACAGGGGGGTGATACTGAGGTAGGTCATGTGACCAAGTGCTTGGGTTGTAGCACTTGACTGAACTGGCTTTTGGGAATAAAAGCTGCAGGTTAAGACGGTCTGTGGCTCCTGAGCTACCTTCAGGTAGAGGTGCCCAGAGCTAAGGAGAGGGCCGCACCTTGGATGGAGTGTTTGGAGCCAGTGACGCACAAACGGGCTCCTTGATTGGAGTAGATGAGACCTACTGGGGCATGTATCAAGAGGGTGTTCTTTTCTAATCCTGAATTTATTTGCCATATAAGGAAATACTCTCTGTGGCCCATAGTTTTTCCTCTAAAACTATGATTAGTTTAGCTCTTTCTTTTTTTTTTTTTTTTAATTTAAGCCCCCTTTATGGGGGGTGGGCAGAGAGGCATGGATACTGTTTCTACTTTTCTGGTGGGTAGGGGGAAACAGGTAGTTGGAGTATCTTACGTTGTGATGGAAGCTTAGTGGTACATTCTGAGAGATCTCTGCTCTGAGGAGCATCACAGCCCAGCAGTTACTTTGGCCATTTCTGATGATGGGGCTCAGTCTTCCCAACCCGCTAGAGCTCTGTCTCGTGCCTTATCTTAGTTTTTATCATGTATCCCAGGCTAGCCTGACACTCAGTATGTAGTTGAGGATGACCTTGAACGACTGAACGGCCTGCCTCTCAAGTGCTTCATACGCCACTGTACCGGCTTTGATGAGTTTGTCAGGATGAGTTTCCGTTGTACTGGGGTTTGAACACAGGACCTTGCACATGCTAGGCCAGCATTTTACCGCTGAACTGCGCCGTCAGTTCCTCCTGGGTTATTATCTATGCTGTTAGGATGGATGGGAGGG